TCTCTGGCCCCATAATTCTTTGACCTTCAGAGATATGGAATCCCAGATATTTGACAGTTGGCAAACACAACTGAGCCTTCCTTCTTGACACCTTGTATCCTGCCTTCCAGAGAATGTGTAGTAGATCGTGCGTTGCTTGCTGACATACTTCCTTTGTAACTGCTGCTATCAACAAGTCATCTACATATTGTAATAATACACACTCTCCTGGGATAGACTCGAAATCTAGTAGATCTTGACTTAGAGCTGAACCAAATAGGGTAGGTGAATTTTTAAACCCCTGGGGCAATCTTGTCCAGGTCATTTGGCGTTTCGAGCCCGTTACAGCATTTTCCCATTGGAAAGCGAAGATACATTGGCTTTCTGCGGCAATTCGGAGGCAAAAGAAGGCATCTTTGAGATCTAAGACTGTAAAGTAAGTAGCCCCGCCCGGAATTAAAGCAAGCAGGTTATATGGATTGGGCACGACTGGATGTATACTAACAACCGCATCATTGACTGCTCTCAAGTCCTGCACAGGTCGATACTCATCTGTACCGGGCTTTTGAACAGGCAGCAATGGGGTGTTCCAGGGGGAAGTACAGAATTTTAGGATACCATACCGTATGAACTTATCCAGATAAGATTGGATGTTCTTCTTAGCCTTCTGCGGAATATGATATTGTCTCAGGCTTACTGGATAAACCCCAAGTTTTAGTTCGATTTTAATAGGTGGAATATTGCGGGCCAGTCCTGGTGGGTTGTTCTCTGCCCAAACTCCTGGTATGTTAAATAAGGATTCATCACTCCTCGGGTTTTGGCTAGTCAACACTGTATAAAGTCGCCACTCTTCTTCCTTTGGTACGGACAATGTCATAATACCTGAGGGTCCATTAAACTTTAAGGATGTTGTTCCATTTGGTAGGAACGTAATCTGCGCTTGTAATTTGGATAGCATATCACGTCCCAGCAATTGGACTGGACACTCAGGCATATAAAGGAATTGATGTTTTACTACGTGGCCTCCCAATGTACAGAGTCGACTTTTAAGAACCGGTTTTTCAGCACTTCTTCCAGTTGCTCCTATTACAGTAATAGTTCTTCCAGATGGAGGAGCAACTTGATTAGTCACCACCGAATGTTCAGCACCAGTGTCGATCATAAACGCACTCCTTTTTCCCCCTATTGATACATCGACCATAGGCTCCGCTCGACCAAGGGGGATGGAGCCCGGTCGGTATCAATAGTCCTCCATGACCGTGTCAGCCAATCCCACAAAGTCCCTACCTTCTCTATCGCGGGACCTTTGCGCTGCTGGATAGTACCTATCTTCCCTTACACTTCCTCTGTTCCCATTACTCCCTCTATTACCATTACTCCCTCCGGGGCCTCCTCTACCTCTCGCTCTGCCTCTAAAGTTTCCGTAACCTGCCCTGGGTAAGTCTCTCTCATACTGCTCTCTTTGCGGACACTCGTTCCTCCAATGCCCTTCTTCCTTACAGTACGCGCACTGATTCCTACTCAAAGGCTCCCTATTCCATCTACCATCGCCTCTATCTGGGCCCCGTCTATCTACGCCTGCGATCGCTACCGCTAGCATATCTGCCTTTCTACGCATCTTGCGCTCTTCCTCTTTCTTACTTTCTGTTTCCCTATTCATATATACTTTGTTCGCTACCTCCATTAGTTGGGTGATAGACATACCTGCAAACCCTTCTAATTTCTGTAGCTTGCGCTTAATATCTCCGTAAGCTTGGCTGACAAAGGCGGAGTTTACCATTCGGGAATTATCAGCGTCTTCCGGATTAAAGGGGGTATACAAGCGGTATGCCTCCAATAATCGGTCATAAAAGACACTGGGCGCTTCATCACTTTTCTGAATCACCTCAACTGTCTTCGACATGTTAATAGCTTTCTTCCCTCCGGCTTTCATGCCAGCAATTATAGCATCTCTATAGGCTTTAAGTTGAGCCATATCTGCGCCATTTACATTCCAGTCAGGATCGGTGTTAGGGTAATGTGTTGCGGCCCATGCTGCCGGATTGGCTTGATTTAAAGCACGGGCTCTCTCCTCTAGCGCCTTAATGGCCGCTTGGTTAATCCTTGTCCTTTCCTCATTATTGAACAATGTCATTAATAACTGCTGGCAATCAGCCCATGTCGGGTTATGTGTCTGAACTATCGAGGTGAACAGATCGGTCATAGCTTGTGGTTTCTCAGTGTACGAGGAATTGTGGGTCTTCCAATTCAAGAGATCGGTAGTCGTGAACGGGACATATACGAAGACTGGGTCAGCATGTGCCATTTGACCTGCGGCATCGATATAGGCTGACCCAGGATTCAGACGAAGAGGCATCTGATAATGTTTTAATTGTTGGGTACCGGTCAGTTGTCGGGTTAGTATGGGGCTACGTGGAGGGGCGTCAGTTAAAGGTTCCGGTCGAGAGGTAATAGGGCATGAGGATGTGGGAACTTGATTTTGGGAAAAGTTAGTGAATAGTATACTCCGAGCCGAGCTAGAAGAAGCTTGACCGGAAGTTTGAAGTGGCGCCAAATCAGGATATTCAAATCTAATGGGGGTTGGTCCTGGTTCCGGAAGGGGAGTTTTAATACGAGGGGGGCAATAGGGGAAGGGGTGCAGAGCTGTACTGGATTCGCGTCACTTCCTCTTAAAGGAAAGTAAGGAGGCGGCAAAGGGATCTCGGACTCAGGGGGCGTGTCCAAAATGGGCCTAACACCAGTCCTAGTGGACAAACAAGTCCTGGCCACCATGAGGCGACATTGCTCCTCGTGGCATATCCGGATCCATTTTGGCGAGTCGTTTACGGCCTGCCCCCAACAATCAATGTATGGAAACTGTCCGTAAAGTTCAGGCCTACCTGACACAGCCACGTGTACACGCTGTACCAGGGTTGGATCCAAACTGCCACGCGGCGGCCATGCCGCAACCAAAATAGGCCACTCCCTAGTGCACAAAGTGACCAAACGTACAGGAGACATTTTAACCCCAAAATCACATGTTTTGAATCCCTTTTTAAAATTCTTTACCATACAACCTAAGGGATCCGAAATCGTTGACTCTGACGCGCCCATACTTATCAATGGAACGTCGTTGACAACGAATACTATGCACGCGTTCTTATTCAACAGTCACACCCGTTTCCTCTGGCAACAGCACCACGTGGTACAGTTACCGAGTGAAACGTACACAATAACACAATAATCACTCAGGGAATTCCCGTACACACACAGCTGTTACACCAGTCACTAAATAATCAATATTATGCCCTTTGGCGAAACTATACAGTCACCCACGCTATAATTCTCTATATATGAATTACCCGTCTATAACACACCCCAGTAACATCGTCTTTTACTAGTATCGGTTACAGTACGGTTAGCATAGGTCAAAGCACAATTTAAGGTCACAATACAATTATTAGTGGTTACGGTGTTAAACATGCAATAGACGACAATGATTAGTACTTATATACAGTGTCAGTAAATATACAGGGTTATGGTACCGTGCACTATGATACAGCAACACACTATTAACACTCTCGCTAGACGGCTGAGCTCGCGCTATCTAACAAGATATACACTTTACTAACAATCTTTAACACATTTACAATCCCAACTAAACTATTGGCCAGTACCTTGAATGGACTACCTAAAACTATATACACCCGTTTTGGTTAGCCACACTGCCCAAACACCACATATAGCGAACTAGAGGGCGAAATTTACAAAATTGCCCTTCTAGTCTATTTACTCTATCAAAAGTCTAGTGGGTTCCAAATTTACACGCCTTCCCACTTAGCCAAGATAGGTTGAGAGCTAGCGAACCGAATTTACACAGGCGCCGCTTAGTCTCCCGGTCCCTCCGACCTAGCGAACGTAATATACACCCTAGAACGCTAGTCTAGACAAGACACCGGTGTCCGGCTAGGGCTATTTACACAGGACCCCGCCTGACTAACCAGATCAAACGGTCTTACTAAAGAGCGTTCGATCGAGCGGTGCGCCTTCGCTCCTTCCCTCCGACAGAGGGGGCAGATTCCATACACAGATTTAAACCCCTTTTGGGCCTACCGCACAATCGGTATACCCCTAGTGGGTCTGCCGTCTAAAACAGCAGTTGTCTTACCTCCTCGTTCCTGAACCTGAGTTCACACTCATCGACGGGGACACCCCAGCACTTCTTACGTAGAGGCCGATGATCTCCTGGACAACAGACCAGTGGCGCCGAGACGAAGGGAGGTCCACGCAGAAGTTCAGGGGTGCAGCCGTAGAGAACGTGGGCAAAGATAGACCGTCTCACGCCTCTGCCTCTCAGCTACCGTTGAACGATGAGCTTCCCGGCCAATGCACCAAATGATACCGGAGAAACTGACGGAAGCAAAGCACAGAGGGATGGACACAGGTTTCTTCAGGAAGGAAGAGATTCTTTATTGGATCACCGATCGGGACTCAGAGGGACTAATGTCACCAAAAATACAGCAAGTTCTGAGCCCTGAACAATAGTGCAGGCTCCCTATATAGGCACATAACTCCTCCCATATTAAGCTCCACCCGCACATTCTCTTGACCAATCATTACAAATAAGAATTAACTTCCTGCTTGACCGCATGGCTTGTCCAGCACAATGGAGGAGGGGAATACTACATCCTGTATTCTTGCACATGCTCCGTACACTACTGATCGTATCTTGCCTCGTGCAACCAACTGATCGATACGTCAGCATATGCACGTACACATGCCACGTGGTAATCTCGGCCTACTAAATTTATTTTTACCGAGATTCCACCACACTACCATTCTGTTTTCTTTATGGGTATGCCCACCTGCCAGCTACACAAAAACCCTACTTCCTGCTCATGATCACAAAACTAACAGCCTTGGCAGGTCTGGGTCATTCGCCATGTTAATTGCTGGCTGACAAGAAGCTCAGACAGTTGTTACAGCGGTTGCACCAAAAACATGCACGTTAACTGGCGCCACTCCAGCTGTCGCTTGGCACCCTGTATGTTTGACAACTATGATTCCCAAATGGATGCAACGTAAAATTGTAGTTTCCAAATATTTTCATTAAAGGTCCACTATAGTGCCAGGAAAAAAACTTGTTTTCCTGGCACTATAGGGTCTTTAGGTTCCCCTCACTCTCAGGATCCCACTCCCTCAAGAGGCTGGATTAACCCCTTAAGACCGGAGGGCGTACTATTACGCCCTATTTTAGGCGGCTCTAAACACCGCCGGGCGTAATAGTACGCCCTCTGGTCTTTCTTTACTTACCCGGTCGCCTGCGGTCCCACGCCGGCGATCGCGGTTGGGGGGACTCCCAGGGAGCCCCCCTGCGGCAAATCTTCCCTCCTGCAGCCCCCCCGGCCATGTGAGAGTGAGGTCCTTGCGAGAACCTCACAATCACATGGCCGGCATAGCTAGCTGCTGCAGTGCCAGCAGGGGGACTGCCTGTAATGACAGGTAGTCCACCTGCTGGCTGGAAATAAAATTAAATAAAATTAATAAAGTGTAAAAAAAAAAAAATTATATACTTAGATCATATATATATATATATATACACATATACATACACACTCATACACTGTCTAGGTGTATTTTACAATTAATATATATAAATATAAAATATGTAAATACGTTAAAAAATAATATTAAAAAAATAATTAAAAATAAATAATTAAAAAATATATAGATGTGTATTATTTCGTTCTAACTGTATTGTGATAATATATATGTATATATCAAAATACACGTAGAACGAAATAATATATATATCTATATACATAAATATATACGTATATATCACTATATATATACCTATATATAAATAAAAATATATACAAAATTATATATATATATATACATATATTCTACATATATATTTATGTAATATTTTTACATAATTAGGTATCTTAATTAATTACAATTAGTGGGACCTGCCTGACAACCCATGCCGAAAGTAAAGGGAATTTAATTTGCTAGCACTATATTTAACCCTATAATTTTCCAAGACACCATAAAACCTGTACATAGGGGGTACTGTCTTACACGTGAGACTTTGCTGAATACAAATATGTGTATTTTATTGCAGTAAAAGCAAACAGTATTATGACATTGACTGTTAAAATGTCACGTGGAACTAAAAAAATTTTAAAAATCTTTTTTTTTTCTCCCATTTTTTTCATATTAAATTATGTTTCATAGCTGAATATTTGATATTAAATGAAAGCCCTGTTTCCCCTGAATAAAATGATATATAATAAGGGTGGGTGCATTTACTATTAAAGAGGTGAATTACGGTTGGACAGACATGTAGCGCAAATGCCAGGTTTTGTTTACATTTTGTTTTGTTCACAACATGTACATTTTGCTCCGTCCTCAAGGGGTTAACCCTAGTGTAAAGCTATGTTTACAGCTGCAGGGTTAAAACCTGTGGGACCTGGCACCCAGACCACTTCATTGAGCTGAAGTGGTCTGGGTGCCTATAGTGCTCCTTTAACCCCTTAAGGACCAAACTTCTGGAATAAAGGGGAATCATGACATTTCACACGTCATGTGTCCTTATGGGGTTAAAGTATGAATTGTAGGCAATTGAACACACATTCAAAGTTAATCAAGATTTGCTGAATTAACTTGTAAGGCTCGGCTCCCTGAGACATAGTTTTACCCACTGTTTCACTCTGCTCTCTAACAGTAAAGGCACTAAGCTGAAAAGGAGGTAGGCACCATCCGGTTGCACAATTTGTATTCCGGGTGTACCAACATGGCGGCGCCCTCGGCAAGTGCAAGACCTGTCCTGCGACTGCTGGCGTTACATGGTTATCGGCAGAACGAACGGAGTTTTAGAGAGAAGACTGGGGCTCTCAGGAAAATCCTGAAGGGTCGGGCTGAGATCGTGCACATCACTGCCCCGCTGATAATACCGGAGCCCGGTGGGGGTGAGCAATAGTGACAAACACAGCGTTCCATTAATAGAATGCTGGAACATGGTGCATTTAGCAACGTTCTTCGTTTGGGGCTCTGTAAACGGCGTACAGAGAGTTTAGATTAAAAATAAAACAGCTATGCATTAGATTAGATTAAATGTTAGCGTGATTTATTTTAAGCCACAGCCCATATTTTTCTTTATTGGATTTAGTTAGTTGGGCAGAAGCTATGTATTAGATCAAATCATAAAAGGGAACCATAACTTCCCTGAAAGTGACAGCTCTTGGCTCACTCACCCTCTAAACGTTTCAGTCACATTTACTCAGGTAAAAAAAAAAGTGCTGCTGAGTTAAGTTTAAAATAAAAATAAAAACACACTTATACTCTGTGGTTTAAAGGAACACTGGTCACCATAACAACTTCATCTAAACAAAGATGTTATGGTCAGGGACGTATTAGCCGCGAGGCAAACTAGACATTTGCCTTGGGCGGCATTTTTCAGGGGGCTGCAAAAAACGCCGCCCCCAAATGCCCAGGGCAAATGCCTAGTTAGCCTTGTGGCTAACAAACATGCGCGGCGCTGGCTGCTGGGCGGGCGGCTGGCGAGGGAGCTCTTCCTCTGAGCGGTCTGCTCAGCTCCCTCGCGCGCCGCAGAGTGAGGCTGGGAGCCGGAATATGACGTCATCTTCCGGCTCCCAGCCTCACTCTGCGGCGCGTGAGGGAGCTGAGCAGTCAGCTCAGAGGAAGTGCTCCCTCGCCAACCGCCCAGCAGCCCGACCGGCAGCCACTGGACCCCCAGGGAGAGAGAGAACCCTCCCCCCCAGCATTCCCAAAGGTAAGGAGGCTGGGGAAAAAAAAAAAAAGTGTTAATGTGAGTGTGTGTGTGTGTCTGACTGTTTGTGACTGACTGTGTGTGTGTGTGTCTGACTGTTTGTGTGTATTTAGAAGGTGGGGCGGGGGGGAAGGGTTGTGTGGGGGTGGCGCGGGGGGAGGGGGGTGCCTGAGTTTTGTCCTGCCTAGGGCAGCACAAAACCAGGATACACCACTGGTTATGGTGCCAATAGGCCCCTAGGTGCTTTCTTATCTTACGTTCTTGAATAGTTTAACCCTAACCCCAAATGCTCCCTCTATCACCAGATCTGCAGTTTCCCCAAGCAGCATCCGGCTTCTGAAATTGTGTTTCAGGAATAGTAGAGTGTTGCTGGGCAGCGGTGCAGCTTAATGGTTAGAGCTGTCAGCTGACTCTCCAAGCCAATCAGTAGCTACCCATTCATAAAAAAATTTACATACTTAAAGCAGCGCTGTCACCATCTGGGGATTTTGTAAAAACAGTGACATCACTGCTGGCGTAATGGTGGCCGTGGTGGCAGCTAAGGATGAGATTACTTACCTGAACCAGTCCCTGCGGGGTGCCGCCATCTTGCTTGCGCTGCTCCTCTTGAACTGAATCAAGGTCACTGCTATAATCTCGCGCATGTGCAAGAGTGCAGCATTGAGGTCTTTGGTGGATCCCGCAAGACCATGGGATCCTCCATAGTAACAGCCATTTATCTGCAGCCGCCATCATTGTGTCAGGCGGAGGAGAAATACAGACACAAAGTAGTCCTTACTTTGTGTCTGTATATCTCTTGACTGGGTTGGAATTTCTGTGAAATTCCAACTCGGTCAGTATGAGTATTTAGTACAGATTCTATCTTTATGGAATACTCATTTTTAACATGGGGGTTACAGTGGGGGTAACGGAAACTACTTTCAGAAATGTATGACTGCAGAGAAGACTGTTGCAGACCCCAGGTAAGTTGTCAAACCATTCTTAAAGGAGATCTGTCACTTCAAAACTATTTTTTTTAAATATAATAATCCTTTCATCAAGCATTGAAAGGAAAAGATTTGATTTAGTTTTTTTTTTAATTAATATGTGTATAAAACTAATCTCTGCCTTCTAATATGTGACAGTATCCTTCAGCCATATACATGCACCTTTGGTCAGACAGTGTTTGAAAACAGTCTCCATGGCCTTCCCTGCTTCTGTGCAGGGAGTCAAGCAGGGAAGGCCACAGAAACTAACAGTCGGTTTTCAAACACAGTCTGACCAAAGGTGCGTGTATATGGCTGAAGGAACCGGTCATACACTAAAGGTATGGATGACACTCCTAGCACCAGCAGGCTTCAGTGGTTTTGGCGCTTGGGGCTTACCTTTAACAAATTCTGGGATTAATGGTGAGGTAATCAGGTCTGTAGTGGTACAATTAGTGTTATAGAGCATTTAAAGCCTATTGGGAAACATGCTACAATAACGAATTGCCATTGATTCATTCTTAATAAAGTTTGGATGCGTCATTTTGTTTGTTAGAGTAATTCTAATTACATTAAAGGACCACTATAGTGCCAGGAAAACATACTCGTTTTCCTGGCACTATAGTGCCCTGAGGGTGCCCCCACCCTCAGGGTCCCCCTCCCGCCCGGCTCTGGAAAGAGGAAAGGGGTTAAAACTTACCTTTTTCCAGCGCTGGGCGGAGAGCTCTCCTCCTCCTCTCCGCCTCCGTTCCTCCTCCTGGGCTGAATGCGCACGCGCGGCAAGAGCTGCGCGCGCATTCAGCCCGTCGCATAGGAAAGCATTTACAATGCTTTCCTATGGACGCTGCGTGCTCTCACTGTGAAAATCACAGTGAGAAGCACGCAAGCGCCTCTAGTGGCTGTCAATGAGACAGCCACTAGAGGGAAGGGGAAGGCTTAACCCATTCATAAACATAGCAGTTTCTCTGAAACTGCTATAATTATGAAAAAATGGGTTAACCCTAGAAGGACCTGGCACCCAGACCACTTCATTAAGCTGAAGTGGTCTGGGTGCCTAGAGTGGTCCTTTAAGTTAGTACCTAGAGTTATGAATCTAGAATTCTGTTTAATAACAAAACAAAATAAATGTATCAAATTAACAATTGATGGTATACATCTGTAAATAACAGGTACCTGGAAAAATAAAAAGTTTATTTAGTTCTTTTTACCCAGTGGTACATCATCTTGTTTTTATTTATTTTTGCTTGACTCCTGTAACATTTTCATTCTCCGATTTAATATTGTTGGCTAAACTTTTCAAATTATGTACTTTTTTTTTTAAAAATAACATTTAAAAAAAAAAAAAAATTTTATTAAAAATATCAAAAAATATATAATATAAAAATTATATCAATATATAAATAATTCAAATATAGCAAAATTCAAATGTTTTTCATAATATATTAAATAATTTTTAAATATTTTAAAAGTATTAATTTATTTGGAAAGCTATATTAACTCATTTGGAAAACTTATAAATCAAGGCCAATGTTAAAATATAGATTTAGTGAAAATATGGAATCAAACACACTAGTCACTTTGTTAAAAAATATATATATATAGTTTCCTCTTGAATATTCTTTTTTTATTTATTTTTTAATAGGAACCTCAAACCTTGTTTTATTAACATTTTGATACATACCCATGATTTTCAGGGTGCTATATGATGGATATTAATACAATTCTGCCTTATCCAGGGCTCACCCCTTTACACTTCACTCTTGTGTAAAAGCAATCCCTCCCATGTTCCATAGAATGATGCCTGTATGATCTCCATGCTAAATTCTGCCGTTATGGAATTTGGAGCTGTGTATGTCTCTGAACAGGCAGTCTTACTGTGATGGCCAGTTTATTGTTAGTGAACCAGTTTTCCGAGATAGCAGACACAGTGAGAACTCAGAATATTGAATCTTTCGCAGTAAAGCGAAGCATGATTTGCTTCATTGATCCTGGCAGTGTTGTATTATGGGCCTCCTGGGCCTGGAGCTGGAGACTTTGATGTATTTGATTTAAATCCATGTATAAATGGAACATTGCAGGCATATTGAGAATTCTCTCCAGATGTGCACATATAGACTGGACATCGGAGGCATTTGTAAACGATTGCCATGTGCGTATAAATAGATTGGTCATTGCAGTCATGAGTAAAACAATCTCGTTCTGCATATATAAAATCTTCAGAGTTAGTGGCATGTGGATCCCCTGTTTTATAATGGGGAATGTTCCATGTTAAATAGTTACTCCAAGCACTATTACTTCTTCAGTAATATGAAGTGGTTATGGTGCCTGGAGTCTGTGTGCAGCGTTTCACTGTGAAAAACAGCACACACAGGGTTTAACCCCTTTTTACTGCTAGAGGTGTAGCTCCGCCTCCGGGCAGTGTTATCAGCCAGCCCGGAACAAGAGACAGAATTAAGGTGCCCACATCCTTGCATCTTGTTACCCATTTACACATGTAATTGGCTATTCACATAATAGATGCATACAGAATTAACCATTTAAGCACATACATAACTGTCCGCACAGACAAACCTAACTTGCAGTACGTTTGTAGGTACTAACACACATGCACAGACTGATACTAGATAAATGTGTAGACACTCACACAGGCAGATATACACATAGTTTGTAATTGTATTATTGCTCTCTCTTGGCCCTCCCGATGCTCACTTGTATCACTGTTGAGAAACAAGAGAGGCTCTGTTGTGCTAAAGATGTTGTTTAGGAATTAACCGCAGTGGCCTCCTATCCTGGTACCAGCTTGCTGCCTTGCAGGTAAATGACGGTATGTTTACCCAGTGCAAAACATGTGTAGATGTATTTGGGTGCAGAAAGCTTTTATTGCAGTTCCCTCCACCTAGATATGTCCGTGCGGGAGCCTAATTCCGAACACATAGAGCGCATTGAGTGACTTGAACCAAGGGCAGATCTTTCCCTTCCAGCTGCTGGGCGTATTGTTGATCTCATTACAGGAGACATTTTGGATCTCACCAAACTGCCACCCTAAATTAGATATTTATACTAAAATCTTTCAGGCAGTAAAGCTGGGCACTTCGCCATTTACTGAATAAGCACTGTAACTTTTATATAGCATATCAATTAGAGGTAGGGCAGTATTGGGGGTGGGGGTTAATGCACTTTATAGCGCTCTGCTGCAACAGCTCATGATAATGTGGTCCAATCAGGTAGTGATAGAGTAAAGTGAAGGCCTTCTCTCCCCCTCCTTCCTTAATGTGAATGACATCACATATTAGGGAGAAAGTAACATGTAAAGTATTATAAGCTCGGCCTCTGTAGTAAAACAGTAAAAAGCACCAGGCAGGAAAAAATAAATAGCCCTCATATACATCACCTTCTACATTACTGGAATAACCAGGTGCTGCTGGCAGACCTGATACTTTTAGGATAACTCAAGGTAAAAAAAATAAAAAATACTTCCTTGTGTATCTTGGGTCTTATACCATTCCCTGATTTTGGATAACTTCATCTATGTGAATACCACAGATTTAAAAAAAATGGTTGGTTAACCCTTTAATTTATTGCTGACTTTTGTGGTACTCTAACTGTTATGGTTCCAGTTTAATGGACCTCTAAAATAAAGATCTCTGAAAAAACTTGAGCAGTGACCTGTTTTTTGTTGTTGAATGTTGTCCATATTCTGTAGTATGTTAACCCCTTAAGGACACAGCTTCAGAAGCTTGTCTTACGCTTAATGACACAAGCAATTTTTGCATTTTCTTGCTGTATGCGTTCAACTGCAATTTGCATCTCTCTCGTTTATTGCACCGACACATATTATATACTGTTTTTTAAAGGACAGAAAGGGCTTTAATTTGATGTAACATATATATATATATATATATATATATATATATATAAAATGCTTGTTTATTATAAAAAAAAAAATACAGAAAAACCCACAAAGGCCTACCATTTGTAAAATAGACACTCCAGGGTATCTCATATGGTGCATATTGTGCCTTAATATGCCCCCATTTTTTCACCAATATATGCCAAAGTATGTGGTAAAAAATAATTTTGGGCATTTTTTACATACGGTTACATTTTTGCTGGGCATTTTGTACATTTAATAATTGCCACTAAGTTCAAACCCCCCAAATTATGCTCAGCTAAGTCTTCTGAGTAAAACAATATGCCCAATGTATGACCTAGACACTATTTTGTGAAGTTACAGTGCTGTAAAAGAGACGCGACAAGTTAAGGTTTTTAAGTGTGAATTTTCATGGAGGGTTTTGATGCGTCCGTGTCCCACTTTGGAGCACTTGAGCAGGCTACATATTACAACTACACCATGATGGAATACCATTTCTTAAAGAACACATCCCAGGGTATTTCAAAAGGCATATTTTGAACCTTAGCGTGGGATAATTTTTCCACTAGCTTGTACCAAGTGTAGTGGTAATAAGTGGTTTTTTTTGCCTTTTTGACACACAAAGTGAGTTTGCACAGTATATTTTGCAAACCTTATGTGTACTACGACTGTATACTACTTCATATGTTGCTCAGCTATGTCGGCTGAGTACAGCAATACCCCCGTATGTACCTTTTCCAGCTATATGTGGACATTGAAGGGGCACATTTGGGACACAGCCATTCCAGTTTTTTTTTTCAAACTTTGACTTTTTACGCTATGTCCATGTCCCATTTTAGAGTATTTTACAAGGCTATATAATCCAATTACACCATAAAGGCATACCATTTCTAACAGTAAATTCCCCCCTTTCCTATAACTCCCACCCACTCCAGCTAGCAAAATATATATAATTGTTAAATATTTAAATTAATTAAATAAATTGAGGGTTAAAAAATAAAAGTTAATCGTCAGGGGTTAAAATAAATTAGATTACAGTATAATACTGTGATCTGTATTTTGATCACTGTAGGCAGTGATCAACTGGCAGGGATGTGGTTAATTTTTATTTAGACTGGGTAAAGGGGGGTGGTATTTTTTTTTTTTTTACTTAAACATTACTAAAACATTTTTTTTAAAACTTTTTTTTACCTTTTTTAAAGCTTATTTTAAAACTTTTTTAACGTTAACCCCTAGTTAGCCTAACACCAAATTCCCCACTAACTTCCACCCATCCCAGCTAGCTAAATATATAATTTTTAAATATTTAAATTAATTAATAAAATTTAACCCCTGAGGGTTAAAAATAATAATGAACCCTCAGGGGTTAAAAAAAATTCAGATTCAAAAATTCAGCCTGTCAGAGTGAGCACTGCTGCAGGGGCAGCCCGATCGGGTGCTCCCAGTCTGCCTCTAATACAGAGGCAGACCGGAGCACCGTTAACCCCGCGATCGCGACGATCTGGGGTTAACTTTAGTAAATGATGGAAATTTTCCGTCAGCGGTCCTTAACTGAAGGACAAGGTTGACGGAAAATTTTCGTCTGCGGTCGGGAAGGGGTTAAAGTCCCTACCTTCATTCCAGACATGTTCTAAGCTAGGTATAGCGCTCAATATGATTAAACTGACTCTACTGCCCAGGCTTAGTCCATTCAGTGGCTGTTATAAGAAGAAGTGCACAGCTGAACAATATATATTTATATATATATATATACACACACACGCGTTTTTTTTTTTGTTTTTTTTTAATCAACATGTTTAATTTTCCTCGCTGTCCATGCTATGTGATTGCATTGTCTAATAGACAAGTAGCGCATACCCAAGTCTAAACACACATGGTTCCCCAGTGATAGAATGAGTACAGGTTTGGTATTGATGTTCTTGTTTACACTGTGAATCTCTTCTTGTTTGTTCTCTGTACAATTAGGAGCGTTCGTGATCTCATCAACCACTTTGTAGCGAGCAATTAATAGTTTATGCTGTGTGTAGATAGGAAGCAAATGTTATTTTTAGATGTAATGCTTGAATAACCACTTCTCCATTTAGCATTTAGTTTAGTTTTTTTTAAATGGTCAAATGGTTAGTTACTGAATCTGTCCAAATATCTGCAAAAAATAAGAATAAGTAAGTAATATAGCTTTAAAGGGGCTGCTTCACAATACAAAACAAGCGACTCATAGTTTCTAAAACAAAGGAAAGATATGTATGTGTGAGCGCTCCAAACAACTCAAGATCTGTTCCAGCCAAAAGAGATCTAAAAATCTCAATGGAAATACATCACTTTTAAATAAAAAATATGTTGTTTCTGTGTCTATTATCTGATAATAAGTCTAAAAAGCAATTGTATCAACTAGACTGTATGATCAAAGTATACAGTATAACCCATAAATAATTGCAATATAAGACGTTAAAATATATAGCTAGGGAATCAATGAAAACAATACCCAGCTCAACTATAAATGAAAACTATATTTGACAAACAGTTTTAATATATTTAGCAAAAAATGATAATGAGGGTGAAATGACAGAACACAATGTCTAAAATATTCCAGTTCCAGGGAAAATATCCGTGTAGCTCCAGTGAGGGGACCCTTCACTGGAGTGATACTGAATTAGTCACCAAAAAGAGTTTGTAAATAAAAATAATGGCCTTTAAAAATAGAAGGTTAAAAGTGAGTGCATGCACAATTCAAACGGGTGGATGGAACATGGAGCTCCAAAACCCTCCCGCCTGTCGTGGCAATGCTAAGGGTGTACTGAGTACGCTCCCGGGCCTGAAAAAGCTCTGGGAGTATCCCAGTGAGACTTACCCTGTTCGCCGCGCCAGATGCCGGGTAGGGGAGCGCGCCGGTCCACACTCACCTGATGTTTAAATAACCACTTCTCCATTTAGCATTTAGTTTAGATTTTTTCCATAGTTTGTGATAACCAAAAGACATTTGAATGTATACGTTGAACTATATTTTTCAGAAACATTTTGTTCCTCTTCTGCCAGTTGACTATATCTGCAGATACACACACTTACAATGTACTTAGAATATTTTATTATGGGTATGTGCCTTATTCCTACTCCACAGCTATGGTCTTCCTCCCAAACTATCCATATGCTCTACATGTTCCCTTCCCCTAACCTTCCATATCCTCTGCAACCATCAGCCATGTAACCCCACCCCAATCATTTCTATCCCTTCTAACTGTGCTCCCCCCTTCCCAGCCATTTATGCCCTTTCTAGCCAAGTTCCTCCTCTTCAACCATTATTACTCTGTGTAGCCAGGTTCACACTCTCCAACTATTCCTGCAACCCATTCATTCAAACAGCTACCCACCATCTATATCCCTCAAGGCATGTTCCCCTCCTCCTACTAGACATTTTTGCACGTCCATTCCCTCAATCCATTCATATCTCCTGCAGATATGTTTCACCTCTCCAACCACACATTTTCTCGAACCCTATTCCCACTCAATACCCTTCCATATTTCCTGCAGCCAAATTCATCCTCCACAGTTATCTATATAACATGCTGACATGTCACCCCTCCCCAACCACTTATATTTCCAGCAGCCTTGTCCCCCCTTCTCAGTTATTTATGTTCCTTGCAGCTTTGTATCCTTTCCCCATCTTACATTGCAGTGGGGCTCCCCATCATGTCCTTTGCAGTTATTTTGCTGCCCTCTACATTCCATATCCTCTGCTGCCATGTTCCAAATTCCAATCATCCATGTTTACTTTACCCTTATTCTCCTACCCTTTCAGTATGTTCTCGTTGGTGGCAGAAATACCTTAACAGTCAGTAAATCCAGTGTCTTTTTTTTTCTATAGATGTCATCAAAGATGGAAACTCCGACTCTTCAGAGGAAGAACCCAGAGGCTGGTGGTTCTCAAATCCTGAAGACAACAGCTTTAACGCCATGGACAACACAGAGGGATGCTCCGGTTTAGATGACTCATTTCAAACTGTGGCCAAAGCATTTACTGAACTAGGACCATTTAATGGCATTCTAGGATTCAGTCAAGGAGCTGCTCTGGTGGCCATGCTGTGTTCTTTAATGCAGAGAGGTGATGTACGCTTCAAGTTTGACTTTGCTGTGCTGGTTGCTGGCTTCAAAAGCCGGGCATCAGAACATGAAGAATATTACCAGCAGCCCATTACTGTCCCATCTCTTCATGTTTACGGTGAAACGGACCGCGTTATTCCAGACCACATGAGTCAAGAACTTGTCTTGCATTTTGAGAAACCAGTTACTCTCACACATGCGGGGGGTCATTTTGTCCCTGCCTCAGCACAGCAGAAAAAGGTTTATTTAGAGTTTTTGAACATGTTCAATAAATGTGTTTGAGTGATTTGTTTTTTAAGGTCCTTAATTACTCATGCATGTTATACTGCAATAATTAAATATTCAGTTCAGGCACCATTACCACTACAGCACACTCTAGTTGTTATGGTTGCAGGAATCCCCAGGCACTGTCCCACAAGGAGTATCTAAACTACTGAAACGTTTGACACTTCTCTGTATCCTCTTGTCCAGCTCCTCCTTGTTATAGCTAAAATGAAAGTTACATTTATTCCATAGCTATATCAATTTCATCTCTAATTTTCATTGGCTGAAAAGCATAAACTGACACTCTTTAGCTAATGAATTCCGTCCAAACATTGATGCAATTGAAGTCACTACTTTAGTGATATGAGTCGACCAGGCTGGAGGCACCCAGGGTGAAAATGGTTTGACTACTTACTATTAGATAGTTCAGGAGACTCCTGGTGCCAGAAGCTCTACAGTTCACTCTAGTGGTTATGGTGCTTAGATTATTCCTTTAATTATAAAATATGATTAAAATTGTAGCTTATCTGCACACTCTCATGAAATCTGTGGTTTTTACCTTCAGGAACAATTTAATTGTACAAAAATAAATTTATATTTTACTGCAGTGAATAATACAGGGCTGTGAGAAAGGTTACTTAGTTCGCCAGTGTTGAATGTACACTGTTTATACAGTATACACTTTCCCAGCAAGTAAGGAGCAGACTGGGTGAAAATGGTTTGACTACTTACCATTAGATAGCTTGCTGAAGTGCTTTGTGGGTGAGGAGTCTCCTCATTTAACCCCAGTTTATAAAAGTGCTGATTTCTATGAGAAAATCAGCCCTTTTATAAATTAACCAGGGAACTCCCACCTGGCTGTCAAACAGCCAGGGAGGATTCCTTCCTACTTCCGTTAGCTCCCCTGAGCTAACGGAAGTGGCAGGCATGCTTTACTTGAGTGTGCCTGCCTCCCCCTCCCCCACTCACAGACCTCAGACCAGCTCGACAGTTTTTCCCTGCACATGCAACCAGGTGCACATGCATGCACGGTCCGATATACGAGCCCTCAACATTGTGCATGAGCCGGCGTGCACGTGCACATGGGGACCAAGTCAGAGGCTTCTCAATGAGAAACCTCTGATTGGTTATTTCCTTGTTAAGAGACTGAAAGTCTCTTCTGGGGGGAAAGGGGAGGGGCTTACAAAGGCAGCAGTCATAACTGCATCTTTTGTAATCTATTTTAGACTATACTCCCAATGAATACATACATGAAAATATGCATGTATGTATTCATTGGGGGTATATCTACTAAACTGGTTGTTTTTTTTTTGGGTGGGGGTTTGGAAGTGTGGAGTGGTCCTTTAAGGAAGAATGCATTCCATAATCTCCACTTATTTCCTAGCCCTGTCCGAGAAACATTTCCTTTGCCCCCAGGATCTCCATTTCACATCCAGGGATGGCCACATTTCAGATCTTATCACATCCTCCACAGGCACTGCATCCCAAGGGTATGTAATGTCTCACCACCAACCCCTCCCTTTAAAAGCTTATTTAAAGGTCCATTTCCCATTGGCAATTAAAAAAAAAATGAATATTAAATGTCAACTGTGTATAAGCCACTGATGTGAAAAATGAAAGCAAATTTGAAATGGACAAGCACTTTAACCCACTCCAGGCTGGCAGACCTCAAATGCTGTGTAAGAGCAATAATATAGAATTATTACTACTATCTATAGTGCAGTACATTCGTCATGTGATACTCACTGATACACAAATCCATCCAGCAAAGGAGTCAATCTATGGTAAGCAAACACACCAGATGTAGAGGCTGCTGGTCAAATTAGCAGTAGTTCACAATGTTTCTGACGCTGAATACAACGAGTAAAGAGCAGTGTATCCAGAGAGCCATCCATGTCTGTAAGTGATTTAAGCATGTTTATAGGAAATGAGGCTGCTGCTGAGTAAGGTTTGATGCTTGGACGTAGCTGATAACTTGATCAAGCTGGATAATAATCCTCCATGCTTTTTCTACAGCAGGGAAAGGGTTGTTCTTTCCCAGCTATACATAAAGGACCTTGATTTATAAATCCCTTTTCTTTTCTTTATTCTCCATAGAGATAATTTGCAAGTATCAAACGAGAGCGCTAAGAAAATGAATGTATACATGTATAATTTATTTATTTTTTTCTTTATTTTATCGTAGCGGGCACCCACTTGGTTTCTAAAAATTTCTAAATGTCTTTTTTTTTTTTTTAAATCCAGTGCTGAGACAGAAACTTGATTGCATCATTGCAGGCTAATCCTCTACTGGTGACGTTATGGCGCATGCACTACAAATATCTATATGCTTCCAATGCTTCTGTACAAGAAGAGCCGCACAGCTTCTGATGTCTGCATGCAAAGTATGCCGATTTCGAAGAGATTCCATAATTTAATTTCTTATTTTTGAGAGCCACTAGGGTGAATGGAAATTGGAAAATGTAGACAGTGCAGTTGCTCAGAAACAGCACTGTTTTGATTTCCAGGTCTGCAGTTACAGTATTTATGACCCAAATCACTTCAATAAGATGAGGTGATTTTATTGTTTAGAGTGTCTATTTAACTAAGAGATGCATTCTCAGAAATGTAAATTTTTAAACGTGAATCTCTTAATTAAAATAGTGATATTGGAACTACACTTTTCCCCCATTAGCTTGTCCACTATGTGGGAGCCTGGAACATAGTAATGTGGATGCGTAAATATAAACATGCATAACATTATTGGTTCATAAATAGAAACTCACGTTTAACAGATCCATAAAACCTGGCTCTTGGTTTTCATTCTTGATGGGGGCCCCTTGTTTTCATCCTTTATAGGATTTCTGTAACAGTACATACAGTAAATAGGAGAAATAATGGAAGCATTATGTGTTGTTCTCTATGCTGTATAATAAAAGAAGCGGATGAGTACATTCACATGATCTGGAGCCATTGCCCTAGCTCTGTGTATATGGCCCGTAGCAAGAGATATGTAGTGTTAAAGACACAAACAAACTGGAGTATGGAATTTGAAGGAAAGCCAACAAATGGATTAGCATACATTGAAGTAGTTTAACTATAAAATACTAAACACTGTACAGGTTTTGTGACAAAGGAAATATTGCAACAAAAAACAAACAAACAAAGCACATGACATGATCTCCAAACATAACAAGACATGATTTATTTTATAAGAAATTCAGTTTAGTTTTTCTTTCAGTTGGTGAGCCCCCTTTTTTTATTGAGACTCCATGACATGAAATGTGAGCACTTATTTATAGGCAACACTTTAAGTACCATAAGCACTGCTGGTTATTTTGATGGTTACAGTGCTAAGAAGCTGTTTGGGCATTCCCTCACTTTTGTCAACTATTTTCAATCTAAAAATTTAAAAAGCAAAAGGAACCAGCGCGCACTGTTACTTTAACTCGCAATGTAAAAAAATACATGTTTTTCACCTCATTAATCGGTTTTTGTATAAAACAAGCACACATTGATGACTGATGCCATGGTGTAGGGGGGATGTGACATTTTGGCTTTGCTATAGGCTAATGTTATAGATCCAAAAGCAGTGATCTTTCATATTGGTGTCTGTTTAACCCCTTAAGGACCAAACTTCTGGAATAAAAGGGAATCATGACATGTCACACATGTCATGTGTCCTTAAGGGGTTAAATGAATAAGATCTGCAGCAGTATTTAGTTCATTGGCCTACATAAAACTAATGTCGCTTAACAGTAATAAAGAGTCTGGAATAAAATATGGTGGCCATTAGAAGCATATAGCAGTAATATTATTATTATTAATGGTATTTATATAGCGCCAGCATAGTCTGTAGCGCTTTACAATGTTATCAAAGGGGGAGATTTAACATTAAATGAGACAGTTAGAAAAACTTACAGGAACGATAGGTTGAAGAGGGCCCTGCTCAAACGAGCTTACAGTCTATAGGAGGTGGGGTGTAAAACAAAACAGGACAGGAGGTAGCAATCAAACAAGGTGGAGTGAAGCAGAGCGGGAGGAGAGAATAGAGTGCTGCCCTTTAGGAGAGAGCAAGGGACAGGTATGTAAGGTAGAGGTTAGTCTGGGAGGCCAAAAGCTTTCCTAAAGAGAGGGGTTTTGAGGAACTTTTTAAATTATTGAAGACTGGGGAAGAGCTTGATGGTCGTAGGCAGGCTATTCCAAAGGAAAGGAGCCGTCCGCAAGAAGTTCTGCAAGCGTGAGTTGGCTGTACGGGTGCGAGCAGCGGACAGGAGAAGGTCATGGGCAGAGCGGAGAACTTGAGAAGGGGCATACCTGCGGATCAGTGAAAAGATATAGGAAGGGCTAGAATTGGTCAGTGCTTTATAGGTATGGGTTAGTACCTTGAATTGACTCAGTAATATCACAAATCCCAGCTCCTGCAGGAGATTGGAACCAGGTAGACAGTGGACTCTGACCACAATGGTAGCTACAGAGAATAATTCTTTGAAACCTGCTCAGTACAGGTGAATTATGCTTCCTGGACAACAAATATCCATATCAGTATATGTATGAATATTTATCTGCTTTCACAATGCTAAATACTGTAATTTACACGTCTTGATCCTAAACATGATGGGTGGAAAAGGATGCCAACAACTCTTTTGCAGCCACTATATATACAGTGCTTACTTTTAAGACAATGCTATAAATATGAACTGCAAATAAATGGAGAAAATAAATGTGATCTGCACATTTATTTATTTGTTTACAAAATATTTTACCAGGATGGATACATTGAGATTTCTCCCGTTTTCAAGTACGTCCTGTGTCCACAAAATATTGCATTGTTACAATAGGATACAATATTACAATAAGAAAATAAAAATAATACAATATTTAAAATATATACACACATATATAAATTTAACACATAATAGGTAATATATTCAACCATGGCAAGTGCATTCTGTATTGAGGTATGTTGCCATAGATCTCTTAAAAGATTTTAGATTGAATGAAGATTTAACTGTGTCCCTGAGGTTATTCCATAATTGCGGTGCTCTGTAGGAAAATGAGGATCTTTATTTTTGTATTGCGGTATGATAAATATCGTGCTAGTACTGGATCAGAGGTTATACAAGGTGAGAAAATCGGGGGAGAGCATTCTACTCAGGTAGGGTGGGAGCTTCCCAGAAAAGCTCTTACACACAAGGCTGGAAAGATGAAGGGTGCGTCGGAAATTTGTTTGCAATTAGACTAGCACAATACATCGTCACGTAATAAAGCGAATTTAAAGGAATACTATAGGGTTAGGAACACAAATATGTATTCCTGACCCTATAGTGTTTAACCCACCATTAAGGTGGCTTGCCCCCCCTTAGCCCCTTTAAACGTGAATAAAACTCACCTTATTTTCAGCGCTGCCAGCACTGGCCCCGCCCCCTTGGTGACATCAGAATCGCAGATTTTTAGCCAATCCAATGCTTGGCTAAAATCGGCAAGGGCAGGGTTAAACACCGTTTTGGCCAATCAGCACCTCCTCATAGAGATGCATTAAATCAATTATTATTATTATGTTATTTATATAGTGCCATCGAATTCCGCAGCGCTTTACAATGGGTGGACGAACAGACATGTAGTTATAACCAGACAAGTTGGACACACAGGAACATGGGGGTTGAGGGCCCTGCTCAATGAGCTTACATGCTAGAGGGAGTGGGGTAAAATGACACAAAAAGGTAAGGATAGTATTAGATTAGTGACAGTTGTAGAAGCGGAATCAGTCAGAGCTATTAACAGTTTAATTGATACGCTTTTATGAAGAAGTGCGTTTTTAACGATTTCTTAAAGGTGTGGAGACTGGGTGAGCATCTAACGGAGGAGGGAAGCAAGTTCCACAGGAACGGTCAGCCCTCAAGAAATCTTGAAGGCGAGCATCAGAGGTGGGAGCACGGACAGAAGATAGATGCAAGTCTTCAGCAGATCGTAAGGGCCTAGACGGGACATACTTGTGTATAAGGGAGGATAGATAGGTGGGAGCAGCATTATTTAGCGATTTGAAAGCAAGAACCAGAATTTTAAACTGAGCTCTATATTTTATAGGAAGCCAATGTAGGGACTGACAGAAGGGTGAGGCATGGGAGGTGAGGGCGGACAGGAAGATGAGCCTCACTGCCGCATTCATTATGGACTATAACGGCGCAAGTTGGGAGCACGTAAGACCACTGAGAAGTGGATTACAGTAGTCAAGGCGGGAAAGGACAGTGGAATGGACCAACACCTTAGTCGCATCTGGCGTTAAGTAGGGGCGGATGCGCGCAATGTTTTTGAGATGGAAATGACAGGATTTGGCGATAGATTGAACATGAGGCTTGAAGGAGAGGTCGGAGTCAAAGAGAACACCTAGGCAGCAAGCCTGCGTGGTGGAGCTGATGGTAGCACCGTTGACTTGGAGGGAGACAGACACAGGAGTAACAACACTTGAGGGAGTAAAGACCAGAATTTCAGTTTTGGTCAAGTTTAGTTTAAGGAAGTGTGCAGCCATCCAGTTAGAAATAGCAGAGAGGCAGTCAGAGACACAAGTCCAGAGGGACAGGGAGAGATCAGGAGAGGACAGGTAGATTTGTGTGTCATCTGCATAGAAATGCTATTGGAAGCCAAAGGAGCTAATGAGTTTACCAAGGGAGGCAGTATAGATGGAGAACAGTAGGGGACCAAGGACTGAACCTTGGGGGACACCAACAGAGAGGAGTTGGGGAGAAGAAGCAGAGCCAGAGAACGAAACACTAAAAGAGCGCTGGGAGAGGTAGGAGGAGCACCAGGAGAGAGCAATATCTTGTTGAGCGATATTGCAGAGGATGAGATGAAGCTTTTGATGATCAACAGTGTCAAAAGCCGCAGACAGATCAAGGAGAATTAGGATAGAGTAGTGACCACGAGATTTTGCATCTCTATGAGGAAAATTCAGCGTTCCCATGCAGAGCATGGAGACGCTGAATGTCAGTTCTACCTACTGTGCAGCACTGAGCCAGGAAGCACCTCCAGTGGCCATATGAGGAGTGGCCACTTGGAGGTGTCCCTAGGGGCAATGTAAACACTGCCTTTTCTCTGAAAAGGCAGCGTTTGGATGAAAATACCTGCATCTAATGATCATACTTACCAGAACAACTACATTAAGCTGTAGTTGTTCTGGTGACTATATTGTCCCTTTAATAAAAAACTTATATGTACTTATTTTTTTTACTTCCTATTTATTTATTTATTTTTCTCCCACCTCTGTTCATCAAAAATTATGAGAGCAGGACAGAGATCTTGATACAACACGTGCATATTGTCTCAATAACAGACACACAAAGGAAAAATAATGTTTCGTATTTAACGCATTCTAAACTCACTTGCAGAACATATCATATATGTTTTATTGATAGCATAGTATTTACTCTCTTCTTTATGATATATAGTTCATTTAACATGTTGTGTTTAATCTTAGACTGAAGCATTTTCTGTCTAATTTGTACACTGTAGTTCTATATGTCGGTCTCTCCTAAATAAAGAATAAAAAATAAATAAAATAAAAAAAAACATATACAAAAGTAGCCACCTTAAAGGGCCACTCCAGACTTGAATTCACCCATTCTCCTTAAACTCATTGTGTAGAACAATAATGCATTAAAAAAAAAATCTGCAAAAACACAACATAAATTAATTGAAATTATGCAAAAACAACCAATCCAAAGGAGTAAAAGGAGTAGCTTGGCCTATAACGAGCCTCTCATCAAGGTCTATGGATTATAAACTGTTGCACTGCAGGGGTTACAGTGTAGTAGGGGAATGGCTGACTAGAATCCATTCTGAGCATTGATAGTGTTCAGCTATAGCATTCTACCTATGAAACAAACCTCGTTAGCTGAATTCTTTTCAAGATAGATAGGATATTGTCAGGATTACAGAATGATCCAGCACGTAGAATTGTGTAACACAGAGGACTGATAGGTAACGTATACCGGACCTTTGAATGGCCGGACTAACGTACCAAAGAATAGTCAGGAATAGCCGAGGTCAAGGGAAACAGAAAGAGACACAACGATAAGGAAAAGCCAGGAGTCAGGGATGCCAGAAAACAGGGAAGTCAAAAACAATGCCAAAGTCAAATAACCAGAATTACCAGAATCAATAACGCGCTCTCAGACAACCACAAGGGAAACCACGACAGGGCACTGAGTAGGATGAGAACTGGGCCTAAATACCCCTCCTCTAGATCTGATAGGCTGTAACCGGCCTTTGACCCCAAAGGCAGTTACCAGGTTTCCATTTGCATAATTGCTGCTCAGCATTAACCCTTCTGTGGATTTGGTTGCTGCTCGGCACAACTTTTCCTGTGTGGACAGTAAATGCCATTAACCACATTTTTATAAGCGGATGAATACGTGACAGATATTGAAGAGCTCCAAATATCAAGATATTTTGCCACAAATCCTGCTAGCTAGTCAGAAATCTAAAGAGGAAGTTCTTATTCCAAACTGACAATGACCCGAAGTTCACAGCCAAGTGCATTAAGTAATAGCTATAAAAAAGGAAAACCAAAGTTTTGGAATTCCATGCAAAAACCTGTGGAATGATCTATAGAGCGTGGCGAACAGGAGATCCCCATGCAATTTGAAGTAACAATAACATTTTGAAAGAACAAAGAAGAGTTGGGCACAATTCTAAAGTCTAACCGTTTGGTGGAAGATCCCATTAAAGATGGAAAAAGTCTTGAAATTAACATTATTATTTCTGTCTTTACCTTGCTTTACATTCATTTACATTTCATCGTTCTTTAAGTCTCCAGATTTTATTTCTTTACATTCCATTGTTAGTTTTGTCTTTCAGACGTTCTATTCACTAAATGAATTTCCCTTTGTATCTACACTGTAGGCACAGAAACAATATGGAGTCACTAGCTATAAAATGGAAAGCTTTTCCCCTGGATTACAAATCCCTTATAACTCTTCTCTTACTTCTGGGCCATTAATACTAATAATTCATTAATTTGGCCCCTCCTCGCAGTTCATGATCCAAGACTCCTCCTCATGAATATGAATTACTTCCTTTTTTTTTTAAACCGATTACTATCCGATCTCCGACACTCTCTAAAGAAAATGGTGATTCCTCATGCTCTCCAACAATTCTTAAAGGAGGAAATTCAACTAACTCCAACACTTTTCTATGGAATCTGGAATGCAGTTGATAATTTCTTTTATTTTCACCTGGGGTATTAAGCGCCTATATATTATTCTAATTTACGTTTAGATTCCGTTTGGACATTACTAACTCAGTTCGCAAACCTGCTATATTATGTTTTCCAGACAGTTTTCCAGTATGTCAGTTTATTCCTTGCTGGAAGTGCTCTTATAAGTATTGTTTTGTTATT